TGTTTAAAAAACTATAAAGGGAATGAATATGTATTTGCTAGATACAAAGTGATGTAGAAATACTAGTAAATATAGCATTAAAAATAATTAGAATACACTTTATTTTCTAAGCAGGGTACTAAAGAGCATTGCAACAATCAAAATTCTGAGTTTTTAAAATAAAATGTTTCTGTCTGGTATATAATCAGCAGTACATGAAACCATTTGTAATAGTCTTAAAGATTATTTTACTTTCCAACTTCCTTTAAATGCCATTTTACATCATCCCTATGTGAATTATTCTTATTTATCAATTAGGGTGGATCCTGAAATTTCTACTTGACAAAACGTGCCTTCATATTTTGGATGATAAAACATTTAAGAAATTATTTTTAAATTATGTGATTCTTGCTTGAAGAAATTCTGGAACATTCCAGTTTTGAGTAGGGAAAAAACCTGAAAATGCTACTCTAGGAAGGTGACTCTTGTCTTTAGTTTTGTTTGAGAGGAGAGAGAAAGAGAGAGAGAGAGAGATCTGAAAATGCTACTCTAGGAAGGTGACTCTTGTCTTTAGTTTTGTTTGAGAGGAGAGAGAAAGAGAGAGAGAGAGAGATCTGAAAATGCTACTCTAGGAAGGTGACTCTTGTCTTTAGTTTTGTTTGAGAGGAGAGAGAAAGAGAAAAAGAGAGAGAGAGAGAGAGAGAGACAGAGAGAGAGACAGAGAGAGACAGAGAGAGATCTACTTACTTGGGGAACCACTTAGCATGCTCCTTCCAAGGATCATCTCCTTCCTCCCAATTTCCTAAACATCCACCACAGGAAAAGCACTGCACAGTGTCGCGTTTTCCTGCATGTGAAGAAAATATTTAGATTGTTTGGCAATGGCACCACGGGGTAGTCCCAGAAGGTCTGTCTCTGGGAGTTGCCTCTCTGTGTGTGAGGAAGACTTACTCCAACATCTCTGTCCACTTCCACTGTCATCTGGCTGAATCTCCATCCGCAGCCCAGGGCCCTAAAAGACCATTTTTTAAGCCTAGGACCTCCCTGTCAGCCATGGCCATACTGCACATACACCTGTTTAACACCTGCCCCGCCAGGTGTTCCCAGAGCTGGTATTTGCTATTTGAGCTCTCAGAACCACAGTAGTGAGGAAGCAGAGAAATCCAAGAACTCACAACGTAGAGCACGGTTAGGAAACCTAAGTTGTAGTTCTGCAATGAAACTTCTATGGACACAGGAATGTTTTTAAACTCTTTGAGCCTCAATGAACTCAACTGTGAAATGGAGGTAATTGGTGAGTTTGTTGGTACTCAGTAAAAGATTGCTGTTATTGTTATTACAATTCTCATTCACACCCATCATAACATTTACAGCATGCCTAGGTCAATTCAAACTGCAGTTTTCTTAAATGCAGTTTGCCCTATACATTAGAATTAGCCCTACGATTAAAACCAACCCACCAACAAACAGAAAGCCATTCCAATATTGCAGCAATTAAAAGAATCAAAGGAAGATCTTATAGCAGCAGCAAAAGGAAAAGGGGAGGAGATTGGGGTCCGGCTGACCTCATGATTTATTTTATTTTATTTTTTGTTATTCCTCACCCGAGGATATATTTTCCATTGATTTTTTTAAAAAATATATTTTATTGGTTTTTTACAGAGAGGAAGGGAGAAGGATAGAGGGTTAGAAACATCGATATGAGAGAAACATCGATCAGCTGCCTCTTGCACACTCCCTACTGGGTATGTGCCTGCAACCAAGGTACATGCCCTTGACCAGAATCGAACCCGGGACCCTTGAGTCTGCAGGCTGACACTCTATCCACTGAGCCAAACTGGTTAGGGCCCCATTGATTTTTAGAGAGAGTGGAAGGAGAGTAGTGAGGAGATGGAGGGGGGAGGGAGGAAAGGAAGGAAGCAGGGAGGGAGGGAAGGGGCAAGGGAAGGAGGGAGGGAGGGGAAGAGAGAGGGAGAGAGAGAAAAACATCAATATAGGTGGCTGAGGATTGAACCTGCAACCCAAGTATGTTTCCTTGACCAAGAATTACACCTGAGACCCTTTAGTGTGTGGCCCGACACTCTTACCACCTAGCAACACCAGCTAGGCCTCATGGCTTAAGGACCTTAAGAATGTTGTCAATATTGTCTAAGGTCCAAATTTAAGGAAAAGTAACTGTCTAATTATGTACATATTTGACAAATTAATATGTGATATGAAACATAAAGCTCAAGTAAATTACTGAAGTTGAATTTTCATAAGCTAGACCTTATACCTAATACATTTAACAAGTGAGGAAAGGTTCACAAAATATTGCAACTGAAAAATGGAACCTAAACTTAAAACTCCAGAGAAATGCTTCAGAAAATTATTTCAAATTACCTGTAAAGACAAAGCCAGCTGCTGAGAGCTCCGGCGGGGATGTCCCATGGGCATAAAATGGCCAATCGTGGAAGGATTCAAGTCTGGCCTTCTCTTCTTGGTACTTTGCTTTGTCTCCTCTCATCTTGCTCTCTGGATTCTTAACTCTTATGTCATACTTAGCAATGTTGCCAACATCTTTGCCCAAAAGGAACTCACAGTGTGGGCTGAACTTCTTATGGTGTTCTATGGGGAGACGCTTGAGGGTGGTACAAAACAGGATTAAGCTACAGCAGAAGCACTGCACCCCCGATTTTATGCCGGTGAAATAAAACCCAGCCGCTGCCATCTCCTGTGGTGTCCACGAGCTGTAGGAGTCATAGGTCACAAAAGTCTTTAACCTTTTTGCTTCACTGCGCATTTCTGAGTTAAAGCCCTTCTGCATTTTTTCTCGATCTTCCTGCTCCTTTTTGTCTATTTCCTTTACAAACTGAACCATGTCGATGCCTAGAAGAGCAGACAGCTGAGGGATAGTAGTTTCATCATACTGGGAAATCCTCTGGTTAGCGGCCTCCTCCTGTGAGGCCATTTTCTGAGAAGGGAAAGAAAAGCAGGTTAGCAGACATTTCTACTTGTTTGACTAGTTCTGAGATTTTCTTCAACGCTTTTATTCTTACTTTTTATTTCTTCTGAATAGTACTGATCTGTGCATCATTCAGCCCGAGGGGGAGGGAAGACACTAGTAAGTCAACGACAGCCCCCCTCACTCCATCCTGTCCTCCCAGCAGTAAGGTCACCTGCTCCGTCCAAGCGGTTGGAGGCCCTCTTATCACAGCATCAGTCGTCACTTACATCAAAGGCATAAAACAGGGGACTCCTTGGTGTGGTCACATCAATCCAAAGATGCTTGCTTGCATCCCCAACACTTCAGGAGCCTCAGGAGTATTCCATGGAACACTAGCAGGTGGCATCAGGTGGTTCCACTTTACAAGGTGCTTTATGTGCCCCCTGCCTTTGTCCAAATTGCTAAGCTGATTTGCAATTTGCCCATCTACCCACATTTCTGCAAAAGTGGCAGCGAACAGAAGGTCTTTTTTTCTTAATATATCTTTTTAATTGATTTCAGAGAGGAAGGGAGAGGGAGAGAAAGACAGAAACATCAATGATGAGAGAGAATCACTGACTGGCAGTGAACAGAAGGTCTTGATGAAGGCCAAGCGAGCCCTTCATTTTGCAGAAACTAAGGCAAGGAAAAGCACTCGGTGGTCCGCAATGAGTTAAATCTGTTCCAGCAGTTTCCTGAGCAGCTCTCTAGAGCAGTCCACAGGGTTACTTCGCTTTTTGGTTGATTAGTTCCTTTGTTTCAAGTTCTCTTGCTGCCCACTCCCTGTAGCACCTCTTAGTGATTATCTATCAGACAAGGTCTCATTCTGAACAGAAGAAATGTACTTGCACATCTCTCCTTTGGCCTCGTGTTTCTTCCCTTCACAGAAGAAACCAGCCAAAATTAGGTCTCGGCAGGCTAAGGCTCTTTCTTAGTTACTTTCATTATTGCCAAAGCAGCCAAAACCAGCTGAGATAACAGCATTCTCAGCTGACTTCCCCTCCGTCTGAATTTCTGTTTTAATTCACTCAGCCACTTCCTCCAGCTCTGGATTGACGACATTTAAATTCCATTGCTGTGCCTTCCCTCCCATCAATAGTCATAGCACTTGAATGAATTCAAACCAGGGATTCCTCGGCAGCCAGCCTGCCATCAGTGGTTGTAAATCTTTCGCCCACTTTTCATTTTTCTTTCTGCCAACCAAAGCCTTGGCCATTATTTAAGTTATAAAGCCGAAGACTGTCTCAATGATCCCATTCGCAGTGCTATCTTTAGCATGTCTACAGGTTTGGGTACTTGCAAAAAACTCACTGGACTCTTTGTAGTATACTTACCTAAGACTTTAATACAGGTAGAGGATAAGATACAAAAATAAAAATAAAAAACAGGCAAACGTCCGAGACGGCTCAGATCCCAGGTCCGGTTCCCGGCGGCCTAAGTGGCACAGGCTGTGCTGCATTTCAGGTAATAGACAACCTAGGTATGTGCGAGATACCTTGGTCTCGGGAAACTACAATCTCTTTTATACTCTTCTGGTCACGTGGCCAAAACCAGGCTACATGACCAGCCTCAAAAACAGAAAAGCTGGTGTAGGGTGCCTCTGGCCTGTCTCAGACCCCAGCACAGGACTACAGTAATCACTAGTTAGTACATTGCATGCAGATTTGGCCAAGAGACAGCACTGTGGCTCCAGGCCTCCCCAGAGATAAATAAACACAGGGTTTCAACAGAACAGCTAGGATCAATTTTAGGGCATGGTCAATTTTGCTCATCAGGAGGCCATTTCTGGGGACGAGACATCTCCAAGACCCTCTCCAGATTTCATGTCCTTTGACTACAAGAGCAAAGAGTACCAGCTGAGGCAACTATGTCATGGATCTAGGATTTAAACCCAAGTCTGGGTGGCTATAGTGCCTGTCTTCTTGCCTCCAGAGAAACAAAAATAAGAGAAATAAGAGTGCCGTTACTTCAGGTATGGAAGAAAAGCACCTTTGCCAGAAATGGTAATTTACTTACCGAGAGATTTAGCCAGAGTCTCTATCCAGTGGAAGGAGAATGGGCGGCCTGAGTACAAATGCTGTGTTGGTCCTTTAATGGAAAGCAATGAGAAAATATTTGAGGAACTAAAACTCAAAATAAATTGCAGTTCACTGAGAAATTTCCCGTAAATGCTCTAAGTATGAAGTCAAAAGGGCCAGTCAGGAC